TATTGTTAACCTCATAATTATACGTCTTCTTAACCTAACCTAAGTATTCAGCGAGATGGTGAAAATTATACTTCATTTTGAACAAGTGACACTGCCATCTTATAAAATACTGCACAATCGATTCTTATTTGGAATTCATGTTTTCTAATATGATGTGAATAGCTGATTGATACCGCAGTATTACAACATGCTGTATTTATATAATAATAATATGAGGTTATTACCAGGATACCTCAAATTATGCATGAAGTCAGTATAGCAAAAATATCGACCGACGTGCAGCGGAGGTCGATGCGACGACGTACTGTCTGAGTACATACTTTGTATCCTCGTAATAACCTTATTATTATACATCTTTTCCTTCTAAGGATACATCATGGAAATGCCAAAATCCAAAAAGTCTAGAACAAAATCAGCAAACTTCTTTGATGTTTATGCGTCTTTTTTTATTATTAGAAGACGCTTATGCACGTAATTAATTTATATTTTGAATTCGCATTTCCTAATATAGAAGAATGAAAATACCCCGCAAAATACCTCAAAATTACGGCACACTGTAACTTATAATGGTGTTACAGTGATAGATGTATAATAATGTATAATAATAATAATCATTATGTGATTTTTTGTCATACTACACACCATAGATGGTAATTTCTTATTTTTATTACTCTATTTTAGGTCATAGCTGAACGCAATCCATCACGGTACAGCTGGCTGTACCAGTACAGTGATGAAGTCTATACAATAATAGATCTACTTTTACAGCAGCATTTCTTATCCACAACTTGTAAGTTTTAAAACGATACAAGCAGCTGCAATTTCTAGAAATCAAGAAATGTTTGCATTTTGTTATTTTGAGGATAAAATTTCACATATTCACTGTATTCCAAAATCAACTTTTGTAACCATTCACAAAATAAAACCCACATATTTTTTATCTTTTTTTCAAAATTATGATCAAAACTTGCTGCCAATAAAAAATGTTTATTTTGTCCAAAATTATTAATAATAATTATTAATAAAAATATAGACAAATACATAAAACTATGCAAATTGATGCACTAAACGTTTGGTGGGTCAAATTATGGTATTAAATGATGGTTTTTTGTTGAACATTTAGTTGAAGGTTCATTTTATTTTCATGATTGAATATTGAGTAGATATAGGTATAATCAGTGTTCTCTCCAGAAAATGTTCTCAGGGTTGCGGCTAATTTGCATATTCATTTGCATATTAATCAACATAATGTATAGTTATATTTTTTTAAATAAACAAGATTACTATATAAAGTGAAACACATTCAATTAAAGGGGAACCGCTCAATCCCATGGATTGCACCAAAGAACCATGGGACACTATTGTTTATGTTGTTTACAATGTTAAACTATCTTTTGTTATCCATTGTTATTTTAATCCAGAAAGTAAATTTGTTGTGAGATTAGGCTTAGCTGGAAGGTGCCCCTTTAAATAAAATGTATGGATTAATATTGTTAATTGGTCACAATTATAAAAAAATCATATCTGGAGTTTTGAAAAAAAAAATATAACTATGATATCATCATCATTAAAATTTAGAATTACGTTAATTTTACTCCCTCCCTCCCTAATACTACTTACTACTCCCTTAATAGCTTTGCACGTGTGCTGGTGACAGAGGATCGATTTACTGATAAACTTCCTTCGTTGTGTCTGGTCTTGTACAGCACGTTCAACGATAGAGGTCGGTGATGGATGTAGTCATTTTTCCTGCACTCGAGTAATACTTTTATGTCAAATATAATCTAAAATTGATGATAGATTTATTGACGGTGAATAACTTCTCAATTTCATCACTGCTTTCAAGCAGTCTCGGTTGGCTGTACTTGACTTGTGTTTTTCGATAATACTAGTCGAGTATGTCATGTTTATTTGCTTTCTAACTTTTGAACGCAACAGAAACAAAGCTTCAGTCTTTTCAGTCTGCTAGCAAGTGCCAATTCTGTTTTTTGTGTGTTATGTTTAATGTGTTCACAATAAAACTGGGATTTCTTCAGCATTGCGGTCAACCCATCAGTGTTGCAGACAATCTCTCAATAAATTATAGATTAGCTGCCTGCTACGCTAAAACGCTTTGGGGAGAACTCTGGGTATTATACAACTCTATAATACATACATCATTAACAAAATAATACAACTCTATAATGTACACAACACTAACATAAATATATTTTCAGACATTATTTTACAAACAACTATGAATAATTATGAGCAGATTCATTGTTAATATAACCAAATTGTGTTTTTTCTCAGGTGCTTCTTTTTCTGAAAACTTTTATGGTTTGAAAAGGGTGCCAATTATTCCTGGAAAACAGAAAGTTGGTTTACCTCGTAGTGAACATTTGAATTCAATTATGTTATTGGTAAGTACAACATAGTGATCACTGCATATTTACATTGTATAAATATATATACTATAAAGCTAAAATACAAAATCACATACAGGTAGCAGGTGGCTATTAGGTTTCCAATTTAAACTGGGCTGGTTTTCTAATGTCATATAATGCAATTGGCTGTCAATTTGATAATTTTTTTTTCTATTCAGGTGATTGTTCCGTACCTTAAAATCAAGTGTGATGCTTTGTTTGAGAGATGGAAGCATGAATGGCTGGACGGTATTGGAGTATCACAGTCACAGCGTGATTCATTGAAGAAATTTAGTCAGATTTATTTAGCAGTCTATCCATACCTTCATATGACATGGCAGGTGAGCTGTTATGAAATGCATGTATTAGAACTGAACTACATGTATATCCACTTGAGTGACATCTCAGTCTCAGTGACATATAGCTCAGTGACATCTGAGTGATAGCTACATCTAAGTGACAGTGATATCTCAGTCTCAGTGACATCTCAGTCTCAGTGACATTTCAGTGTCAGTGACATCTTAGCCTCAGAGACATTTCAGTGACATCTGAGTGACAGTGATATCTCAGTCACATTGACATCTTGATGTCATCTGGGTATCATTTTGGGGAAAATCATTGATATATTACATTGTGAAACCATGCAATAAAGGCACTGCATGAGAAATTTGTAATTATAGTTTTTACCTTGTCCTTAATAATGAAGGTAATAATGAAGGAGGTATAATGTCTGTCATTGTCATCATTGTTGCTGTTATTAACATTTTCTTGTCATCAAACAAATTTAACCCAATCTATCTCAGATTTGGTTATATTAGACAGGCACATATAGAGAATGTAGTGTAAATGTAATTAATTTTGAAAGGGTTTACCCTGTTTACAAGTGGCTGTTCTCCCTATGCCTAATACATTGATGGTCTGATGGAGTGGGTGGGTTAAGCTTGTATCCTATATAAAAACAGAAATTGTTTAATGAAATTATTTTCCTGAAGCACATCGCATATTTCAGCATTTTTATTTCACTTGTACTTTATTTTTGCAGGGATCTCATTTATCTTATCAGTTGGCATATCTTTTCAATAAATCATCGTACCATTCACCTTTAATTCGGATGGCAGG